TCGACGACAGAGTGCAACTCGGATGCCGATTCTCGTATGATGGCGAGAAATTCAAAAAGCGCATCTACGTACGAAGCCTTCAGACGATTAGTGTTCTGATAGTGTTCAACCAGCAGATTCCATGCCAATTCTGTACCAACTTGAGGGCCTCTCCGGAAAGCGATGAACGGAGATAGTAGAATTTTTGAATATTTGAGATGTCTTGCGAGGAATGAACTAGCGAAAGATAAAGATCGTGGAAGTTGAGCCAGTTCTCTAGGCTTCCACTGAATACGGGAAGCTTCACATCAGGCAACCGCAAGTGCGATGTCGAAGAAGAGACAAGAGCGTTTGAAGTACCCGGGGACCTTAGGGACGGTGTAGATGATTTATTCACGGCGAGCAAGAACCCTTTTACGCGATAGTACTGGCATTCCATTTCCGTTCTCTGCTTCAGATGCTCCTCAAAGGTTTCATCATCCAGCGACTCCAACTCGATCTGTACTTTGTTGAATTCGGCCCACAGCGAAACAAAGTTTTCAAGGCGCAGTGCAACCTCAGTCTCATCTTCCTACTCATCGTACTTGTCCACGAATTGCTTGATGAGTGTAAACGACGACGAAATACTGCGTAGTCGCAGCTTGAGGTATCGAATGCGGCGTTCGTTTGAAGTCATGGTCTGCAAACAAAAGACCGCGTAGCTCAAACGATACGGGTGTAGATAATTGGAAATCTAATTACCTGATATAGGCAGTTTAATGCCTTGTAGTATATCAACGCCAACTACACTGGCGGGACAGCAATGCCCAAGATGGCGTAATCCAAACGGTGATTGACGAATACCACGCGGCAACCTCTCCAGATTGTTCCAGAAGCAAGATGGCGGTTCTAGTAGGCGGTTCGTTGATGAACGGAGTTCGACGTTCATCCGGTTCGAAGGACCATGTTCCGATACTCAGAAAGGCGGGAGGTTTTCACGGGTATAATCACTTTCTTTCAGGTTCGTGTTACAATTCACAGGTTAGTTCTTCTAGTCCACAAACGATTTATTAATCACCAATAGTTTCAATTTATTTCACTAACTTGGCTTTAAGCTACTAATTAAACTCTTAATTTATTTAACTTCTAATTAGAGTATATAATTCACAATTTTTATTCTTCACTGTAAGTAGTTCCACTATTCCTCGCTTGATGCTAATCTGCTGGTCAGTATAATCAAAAAGGGTCGCCCTAGACGGGTTTCTTAGGTTTTTATATTGGCTGAATCATCGGAAGTCATTGATGACACGACGTGAAGAACACATCATCGGTTTCGGTTCAGTGCAGGATCCAATCTGCCTAGGCGGTGAAATTCGTCGATGTAGCCATGATGCAAAAGACAGGTACGGTGAATTGGCTCCTCACGCATACTGTGCAAACAATCTCTAATCACCTTTGAAGTTCTCTGGACTTTCTTGAAGATTACGAAATCTCTTAAGTGCTCCCATAATTTTCTTGATTTTATTGTTACATCAGCATTGAAGTTCTCTGATCTTCCCGATTTTTTTTAAATTTTAAAAGTTATCGACACTGTCATTAAAAAGCATAGAACTTCCCATAGCATGTTCTCACAATGTTCTAATGTTCATGTAACTTCCCTTACGTTTCTTAAATTTGCATGAGCCTCTCAGGCCATTGCTGGAGTTTTCGGAAATTGCCTGAGTTTCTCGGAACTCCTTTATAATTTCAGCAATATTATTGAAATTAATTGATCTGTCCTGATGTTCTCTGAGCTTCACTAAAGTTCCTGAAAACCATTAAATTTCCCTGAAGTTCTTTGGACTTGTGAAGTAGTTTCCAAAATATTTATAATGTTTCCTTAAATTCATTGGAGTTTGGTGGAATTTTCAGAAATTTCCGGGTTTTTTTTTAATTTTAACAGAAGTCTGTCTTTAATTTATCGAAACTTACACAAAAGTCTGGACTTTTCTGAAATTTCAGATTAGGTTTCTTGGAGGAACACAGGAGGCACATTTTTTCACATCAAAATTGGTATTATTCGGAATGTGGATTTGATTGAGTGCGGTGTTGTTAAGCTTGCGACGATGATCATTTTCAGCACAGTAGCAAGTCTCCTTATTATGGTATGCGCAGAGCGTTTCGCGAAATAGTGTGCTGCTTTGGACCGGCATTAGGATGTGTGCTGAGCTTACTATGTATAAATATATATATATATATATATATATGCTTAAATAGATTTACTAACAAATTTCGATCCTCCAATTAGTTTTAAGTAGAATAATTTTAAGTAGAAACAAATTTAGAATAACAAATTTTAATTTGTTTCAAATTAATTAAATTTTGCAACTGTTCAACTCACTCGCTGCTCGGCTAATAATATTCAGCAAACCTTTGACAACTGTAGCCGGAAATCTCCTCTCACCCAGCTCTCGTCTTCGCCAGCGTTGGACATTCTGGCGCTGTGGTTGCGACGCTGAGGCAGTGCACCCAGTTTGCAACATATTTTATATTTTATTGCAATACCTTTCGTAGACCTTTCATAGCATCGTAATGTTTGTTTACTTTGCACGATAGGTAGCCGATTTGACAGTTCAATAGGTAGACTTGGCTTCATTCTTGCTAAGAGGAAGAGGAGTCAATATGGGGGCGAAAACGAACAACTTTTCTGTCAAACGCGAACCAGCTCGTGATTGGCCGATTTGAAGTGCATAAGATAGAGATAGAGATAGAGATAGAGGTAGAGATAGAGATAGAGATAGATATAGATATAGATAGAGATAAAAGAGCAAGAAGCCAGTTGTTTCCTCTTACTCTTAGCATTGTTGGCGTGACTCATTATACACCGACTCTAGTTGACACATGCTCACTGTGCAGGCGCAAAGATAGTGCAATGTTGCCAGAAAATTTAAATAACAAAAAAAAAATCCAACCATAGATGCCAAACAGTGCCAATGAGTAAGCCCAGGTGTGCCAAAACCTATGTGAGGAGTGACGAAGCCTTTCCAAGCATTCCCTCTTGTTGTTCTTTAACAAAAACATTTGAGGCATTTATTTATTTAAGTCGACAATCAATTGGTCTACAACAATTTAAGTTACATAGTTTGGCTTCAATTATCCTACATGTGAAGTGAAAGGATAAGAAACGATCCACTGTTTCCTGAATCTGACATTATGGGATTTTCTTATAGGTGCAAGGAGTTGCTATTTCACTCTTTAAAAAAGAGTAATAGGGGAAATGAATGTAATGTCGGCCTAAATGCCCCTAATTTGGGCCCATACATACCTTCAGCAATCGACTAAATTGTCAATAGTATATGTATGTATATACAATCCAACTTCCACTGTCCGGCAGTGTTTTTATGGAAGAAAAATGTTTGCAATATAATCTATTAATATCTTATACTGATCCCATTGCAAACAATTTTAGCCCGGAAGTTGAAAGGTGATAACTCTGTTGAGATTCAGTAACCCATTTCAGAATGCCTGGTCACTCACGTCCATTCCGTGGTTACTTTCACTTACAACAAGCCCCGCATACACGTTGTACCGATATAAAATGTATGCGTGTACACTTCCATCGTCAAAGCAATTCCTGCTTTGTAGATGGCACGTATTTAGTAGGATGCATTTCATATTTTTATATCTAGTTGTAATCAGTTAGATCTCACCGCTTATGTATTGTGTCCTTGCTGCTGAATCTTTGTCATCTCGATTCTCGTTGAGTCCTATTGAATAATCGAATCGACTAAATTTTCAATAGCTTCCAAAAATATCCGCGTTCATCTAGATAAAATTGATAAATGGCAGATTTTTAGCGATGGGCCCAATCTTAGATCCATAGGTCAACATTAGAGCCATTTCACCTAAGTGTACTAAATTTGTCCCAAAAATGAACAATTATTCATTTACGGATTACAATTTCACAGTTAGTTTTTCTTGACTGTGTATTATTTCTGAATGAATAAGTTATTTGCTATCCCGAAGTGAGTGACTACGCTGACATTACACCCGGTAGCCATATGTCTACTAATCCTACTTGTTCGTCCGAATCAAATCCAATCTGCTTCGGATCCTTTTTTAAAAATTCCAAAGCCTTCTTCCTTGCTAAGAAAACCGCAGTACAATTTTGACAAGCGTACTGTAGTGCCATACCATCCATCCCATCATTATCAGTGTAATTCCCGTGCTCTAAGCATTTAAGAGCTTGTAAGAGCATTCAACCGAGTGGCAAATATAATGAAGCATCTGCCATACCCAATAGAGAGTTCGAGAAAGATCCATTATTGGTGCCACCGCACGTGATTATGTACATCCCCCACTGGTGATGCCCCTTCCGCTTGCCAACCAACTAGCGACGATAGACAATGGGAATTAGTTAGCTCGATGTGAAAAGTTGCTTCGGTGGTCTAGCTTTACAATTCAAGCTGAACAATGCATTAGGTTCTGAACAACATTGGCAGATCCCCACGGCCATGCATAGACATTTCCAACTATTTTCAGCACAAAGTTCGATAACAGAAGCTATTGTATCCAAGTCGAAGATCCATGTTACTTAGGACCTAATCGATTGTTCAGCTTGAATTGAGTGCCGATGGTCTGCCTCCCACGCTTGAACAAATTTCATAATTGAACATTTTGAATACTCTCGTAGCGGATTTTGAAAATTTCATGAAGAGGATTTAAATTTCCCGTTTGGAGCTGAGTCAAGCATTTAATAATTTGGCAGAATCAACACTATTTACTCTATAAACAACTTGAATCAAATGAAAAGAACGCATGATTCATTCGCAGTATTCATAGGTCAACAACAATGTGCATATTATTCTGCAATTTCCATTTACCAATTTCTGGAACCAATAAATAAACCCCTTTTTCATATCATCTCTCTCCCCATATGCATAAAAATAAAACTACATTGCCTGCAGACCCTTTCAGCCCGAACCATAGAGGGAAAGTAAAAATATTCTCGCATTTCATTTTCGAGCTTATATGAGTACCTAACCTCAAAGAAAAAAACTTACCTTCCTCGTCCAGCAGTATGTTGTCGGGCTTGATGTCCCTATTTGGTACCGGTAGTAGCCACAGCCACACAGCCACACACACACAGGAGACCATTCCAGCCGGAGGTGAAGCGGGAAAAGTGGAAAAGACAGAGGGAGAGAGAAAATTTACATGAATACGTTATGATTATGAAAAAAACCATTCAGGCAGACGTCGGAAAATAAATGAGGTAATAAAATGAGGAATTTGCCATGCATTATTCATTATTATTGTTGCGATGGGAGCTTTCCGCCGTGCCACCTCGAGCTTTGACTTGCAACTTTCTAAATTGACTCTTTAACAGCTCGGGACCGGGTTTTCGGTGCCAAATTTACTCAGAGGAGCATACATTGAGTTAAATATTTAATGGGATTGGAACTCGTTAGATTGCAGAGGAAACCCCACAGGATAGCATCCAGAAGTTCAGCATTGCCGTGAGGCAGTGAGGCTTCTGAATTATTCATCTTGGCGTTTGATTTTCTGGTCGAGAAAGTGTAAGTGAAAATTTAAGATGAGAACTAGTTGGAAGTGTCATTTAAATTGACCTATATAGAAAATGGAAAAGCAAACAACGATAGTGGTAGATGAACGATTGAAACCAGTTCAAAATTTGAAATTGAAATTCTCCAAGTGGTCGAAATTCTATAAATTTACAAATCATCTGTATAAGTCTCTGAGCTTTTTAAATTATCTAAATGCTTTAAATTATCTATATTATAAAAATTATGTGCATTTTCAGAATTCCAGTAATTATTGAAATTCTATTAATTCCTTCTCAAAACTCTCAAAATTTTCTACATACTCTGATTTCCAAATTCTATACACCCGCTAAATTCTTGAGATGGTATTAATTCTCTACACCCTCCAAATTCACAAAGTTTACTTAAGGGGGTATTCCCGATCTTTTTTTTCAAAAAAATCAATTTTTTTTTCACGTTTTTTTGTACTTTAGACTATATACTTTCATCCCCCCAAGCCGTTTTCAGATCAGCGAATTCGGTGTCCATGCATAGCTGACTAATGGTAAGAACCCCCAAAATGGTTTTAACTAAAGTCAAAACTTTAAACGCGTTTTTCTCGAAACCACATTTTTTTTTATCGGGCGAAGATTTTTCTCAGAAGCTATAAGAGATATTGACTTGAATCTTTGCGCATTTTGTTCCTTATTAAATTCTTTGGAGCTTCTCCCACTTTCAACCAAAAATATTAACATTTAACATTCTTTGAAGCACCTTAAAGCTGCAAAAAAGCGGGCTAAAAATCGCCTGTTTTTTCATATGGCCGCCATTTTGTTAATTTGCAAGATTTTTTGCTGCCAACGGGAGAAGCTCCAGAGAATCTTATGCAGATTATTAATTTCATCACGAAATCTTTTTCAGATGAAGCCGTTCCAGAGAAAAGTCTTCGCCCGTCGAGGCGTTTGCGGCGAACAGGGGTCTGTTTGCCGCCATTTTGTGACGTCAATAATGTCTTTTTTTATGTCGAAAAAAATTTATTTGTAAACTTTAATGTTCAATAAACAAGAATCCCAAAGAGTTAGGCGCATTACTATTCATTTTCCTTGAAAAAAAAAATTAATTGAAAAACAGGCCGAAAAAAGGCAAAAGATTGGGAATACCCCCTTAATTCTTTGAATAATGTATGTTTTTTCAATCCTCTATAATTTCGTAGCTCCCCGATTCTTTAAATTCCACAATTTTTCTGAATGCTGAATCCTTTTTTTAACTCGTTCAATTCCCTTTTGTTCCCTATAATTACTGAATTCTCACAAATTATTTAAATTCTCTACCCACTAAAATTTCTAGATTTTCGAAATTCTCTAAAATCTCAATGTTTTCTTATTCTTCTAAATCCCCACCAAATTCTTAAAAAAATCAAATTTACTAGTTCTCTAAATTCTAAAAATGCGCTTAATTCCCCCAACACGTAAAATTCGCTTCATTCTCCGAATTATCAAAATTCGCTTAACTTTTTAATGTTCTATAAGTTCTCTAAATCTTCTTAACTTACTTACTTACTTACTTACTTACTTACTTACTTACTTACTTACTTACTTACTTACTTACTTACTTACTTACTTACTTACTTACTTACTTACTTACTTACTTACTTACTTACTTACTTACTTACTTACTTACTTACTTACTTACTTACTTACTTACTTACTTACTTACTTACTTACTTACTTACTTACTTACTTACTTACTTACTTACTTACTTACTTACTTACTTACTTACTTACTTACTTACTTACTTACTTACTTACTTACTTACTTACTTACTTACTTACTTACTTACTTACTTACTTACTTACTTACTTACTTACTTACTTACTTACTTACTTACTTACTTACTTACTTACTTACTTACTTACTTACTTACTTACTTACTTACTTACTTACTTACTTACTTACTTACTTACTTACTTACTTACTTACTTACTTACTTACTTACTTACTTACTTACTTACTTACTTACTTACTTACTTACTTACTTACTTACTTACTTACTTACTTACTTACTTACTTACTTACTTACTTACTTACTTACTTACTTACTTACTTACTTACTTACTTACTTACTTACTTACTTACTTACTTACTTACTTACTTACTTACTTACTTACTTACTTACTTACTTACTTACTTACTTACTTACTTACTTACTTACTTACTTACTTACTTACTTACTTACTTACTTACTTACTTACTTACTTACTTACTTACTTACTTACTTACTTACTTACTTACTTACTTACTTACTGACGGCGACTCTGTAGCTCTTTACTCCTATGAGAAAATCCACGTTAGACTGTGCGTGAAACATGGCGGACTTTGTACTATCCTTTCACGCTACCGGAAATGCTCATAGAAAACTGTCAATATTTGCTGGAAGAGAAAATTTTTCGACGGTGCCGTCAACGCCACTAAACACCGTTTGGTGAGACCGGAAGGAATTCAACTTTGAAATCTGTGTTAGGAAAATCGCTTTTCGCAGGCTATCGGTGAAAATTTTAACTATCATAGTAACTGTTGCACATTCGTGCAATTTTCAGTTCTGACATTTTAAAAAATGATAAAATCTTAATTTTAACAGGTTCGTAGAAAAATGTCCGTTTAAGAATCCATCATCTCTGGATAAAAATCAGACCACTGTCATGCCGCGAACGACTTTGATTTTTGAAATTGCACCCCCAAGGTTGCCTTAAAGTACATAGTATGTTAGATTTAAACAGAGATAGAAATTCTCACTCAACTGCACGATAAGCATTTCCTCACTCAGGCTCAAGGAATCAAAAATATATTCAAATGACAAAATGACAAACGATCAACGAACCGAATGATAACGCTATGTCAGAAGTGGAAAGCAATAATGATATAATCTTCTTCCTTCTTTTTCATGACAAGCAGCCCGTGCGACACAACTCACTCGGGGCGGTAGAAGGAAACGAGCAAATTGTTGGCAAGCTGCTTCACGAAGTAAAGCCGAAGATGATACACTTGTGTTAATGGGAATTTTTTTGTTATGTCTTTTCTCGATTCAGATCAAGCAATGTCCTCATCCGTGTATATTGCAACAAAGCAGGCAAGCAATATATCATTATCCTTCTATCACTCCGATCGAGCTATGTTACAGAGCGAGTTTGTCATGGTAGTCGTAGCAACCGTATTGTCTGTATCGTTGGTAGCTTTATGTGTTTGGATTCGCTGCTCAGGCTACTTTTCGGTGAGTTGTGAACCGTTCACATTTTCATCTCTCCTTTTTCACCGATAATTATCCTCTCTCATACATTATCCTCTTCTTTTTTATTAGGATTCATTATCCTCTCTCATACATAATCCGAAAATATCTCTCTTCAAAACCCACCCATTTGGCTCTGAAAACTACCAAGAGCGAAAAAAAAAAATACCACCCCAAATTGTTCGGCTCCAACCCAATGTGATGTAAACAGTTGAGGCTTGAAAATTCGCGGTCTCTTTTGTTCTTCCTCTCATTAAATGGTTATTCCGTCCGTGACATCATACTGTGTAATCCATTTAAACAGCGGCAGAACGAAAGGAACAACGATTTCATATAGCCACACCTTTTTGCATTTCATTGGTTTCAACCAGTCCGGCAGATCATAATGGTCATCCATAAATGACGACTCAATTTTCTTACCAATTTTAGACCTTCTCCTCCCCCTTCGTGGCGTTTTTTCTATACATTATGCATGGTCCGTTACAAATGTTAAGACTCCCTCTCCATTACTCCTCAGATTCTACGTAATTTATGGATGTGTCCTAACTGTTGTTTTGGTTCTTAATTTCGGATCATCGTTTGCGTGCGGAAAGTGAATTTTCAGGTGTATGAAAGAAGTGAAAAATCATTATCCGGCATCAAGAATTCACTGAAAAAGAAACGATTTATCTGCCGCTCATGCTCTCCGAAAAAAATAAATCGCTGTTGCTTTTCTCGCGAAAACTGCTGTGTTCTTCTAGCAGGTGAAAAATGACGTTTCTCTTCTTAAGTAGGCGAAAATTTTGAACTCTGATTTAAACATATCTAGATAGAGCTGGAATTAGGTCGTAACAGCTTTTGTAAACAATGACTTCTCTCGATGACTTTTTAGGAATTCAAGGCACGCCCACGCAAACCAACATTACGCCTGGTAGGGGAAGTCTTACCCTACCTGATGGTGACATTGATTTGTATATGTGAGCCTTGCCTTTTAAGACATCATCGAAAGAAGTCATTGTTTACAAAAGCTGTTACGACCTAATTTCAGCTCTATCTTGATATGGAAGCTGACATCCGATTGATGACCTTGACGAATCAAGCTGAACATTGCATTAGGTCCTAAGTAACATTGACAGATTCTCTTCGTCGACCTTCTCTTTGCATCCCCACGGCCATGTAAAGACATTCCGATGTATTTTCAGCACTCAAATTAAAAACAGAAACTTTTATCTAGCATCTTATAAGACAAACACATCAAGAAACGGTTCTGTGCTCAAGTTATTAACGAAAGAGAAAGTC